TCTTGCCTATAATAGAGAAAGTGTCTACTATAAGGCATCATGCAGGACAGCAAGGGAGTCTGTATGGCATGGTGTGCTGCAAATGGACTTCATAGCCAAGTCATAGAGGTCCGCATCATCACTCTCCGTGAAGGGCATGCCACTCAAATCACCACAGCATCACCACTGGCCCCCACCTCTGCCTAGTGTGCTGATGTGTTGAAGTCTGGTTGTTTTCTGTTTGTATAACTCAGCAGACTTTGGTTGCCACCTGGCAGGGGCCAGGCACAGCACACAAGACCAGCTGGTTGGAACTCTGGCCTCTGGGTGTCTCTTAGTCACACGGAAGTGGTTAGGGGTATGTGAGGGCTTGGAGCAGGGCACATTAGGAGCAGAGAGAAGAGTTTCCAGAACACTGGAGTGAACATCCAGGCTCCTCCTGCCTCATTAGGAAGGGGGCTTTCCTATCCCCTGCAGGTCCCAGTCTGTGCTCATTGCTGTTCGTCATGGTGACTCTGCAGTCTGAAGAGAGTGTGTCAGTGTATTACCAGGGACCCTAGTGTGACATTTCTGAAGAGTGCTGCTTCATCTGGGAGAGTAAAGCTTATGCTGGTACCAAAGGATCAGGATTCACTCATTCACAAAACTGGCCTCCGTGGAGCCACTCCAGCCCACATTACACCAGGGCTGCTTGCAGAGGACATCCCTCCACTCAGTTCCGAATATTCTCAGAAGCAGGGCACCATCGGTACTGACAGCAATGGACTGGCCAGAGAAAGGGCTTGGCAGTGTCAGAGGCTATAAGCTCTGCCATTGGCCCTTCGAGATTCTCTTGGTGAGCAGGGTCTCAGCTGGCTTCTGCGGTGTGCCACCACTGTCCTGGGTACATTGAACCAGTGAGACCAGTCCTGTCTTCTTGTAGCTCACGTTGTAGTCTGGAAACAGATGGTAAAGCAGACAAAGATGTTGGCTATACTGAGGATCCATAAATGAGTTTTGAATCCAGGAGTGATATGACCTGGCTTTTAAGTGACCAGATCATCCTGGCTGTCCAACACAGATCCTAGGGCAGTGGGCAGGAAACTTCCATGAGGAGAGTACAACCAGTCAAGGGGGAAAGGGAGATGGCTCCAAGCAGAGAGGTGACCGAGGTTTCAAGGAGAGGTCGGGTTCAAGACACACTTTGCAAGTGGACTTAATGGGATTTGCTGGTGGGATTGTGGGTTGCGGGTGAGGAATAGTGAAATGTGAGGATCAATCTGACGTCCAGGCATGAGGTGCTGAAGGGCAGACTCGCTGTGCATTAGCTAGAGTGGGGAGGACTGCAGTTACGGGATTGTCTCTCACTGGGTGTCGTGGGAAGAGCAGGACTGGCTTCCTGTGTTAGGGTGAAAAACAAAAACAATTAAGAATCTGTTAGATTTGAGACAACTATTAGGAGGTGCAGGATAGGGGTCCAGTAGAGGGCAGGAGGCAATCCTAAACTGGGTATAATCCAAGATTTTTTATTATGTAATCAATATTTTAAAACATGAAAGCTGGAGGTGGGTGTGATCATACATGGTACACTCATGTGCAGGTGGAGGCTGAAGCATAAGGTTCACAAGTTCAAGGCCAGCCTGGGATACATACTAAAACTTTGAGACAGGCAAGCAAACAAAAATAGTTTGAGCGTTCATGAGCTCACTAAGAGGATGAGCATGGGCTTCCTTGGGGCATGCTCACGTATAAAGGGGTGTGGAGATGACGGATTCTGCAAAGGACCCACGTAAACAGAAGGTGAGAGGACCCCAGAGCAAAGGGAGAGGAAGAGCTGGGTGGAGAGTACAGGGAGGGATGGCAGATGGATGGCAACTGGAGGACTTGGTCTATGGTCAGTCCCTGCAGTAGAGGACCTGGTCTGTGATCAGCCCCTGCAGCAGAGGACCTGGTGTGTGGTCAGCCCCAGAAGCAGGGTCGAACAGCATGCTGTACATGTGTCAGTCCATTTCAGATTTCCACATCTGTGCATTCATGGAGAGCTTAGTTAAGCACAGCTTGAGTCTTAACGAAGTTTTATTCTGGGGTGAGTTAAGTTTATATGATAAAAGGAAAACCTTTCCCCCTCACCTTTAACACCATTTCAGATGAGTGAAGTGGCACCTTTCCAGGAAGCAGGGTGGTCCTCATTGAGTCTGGCTGCATAGATGGATGCACTGCCCCTCCCCCCATCTTGTAGAGAGACAGGCATCCTCTATGCTGGTCTCTATGTAGACTTTAAACATCCCAGACTCCAGTTCACTTGTGTTCAGGTATGGGAACTGAGTCCCAGGAGCCTGACATGTTAGCATTGTGCCTGTGGTCCCAGCTACTTAGAACGCTGAGGCTAGAGGATCATGTGAGACCAGTCTAGGTAACAGTGAGACCCCCATCAAAAAAGTCAAATAAGTTTTCAAAATTCAGTCCTTGGGAGAGCAGCCCAGGGAATCTGCTGTGAAAACAGGCTTCAAGTCCTGGGGTCTGAGGATTTCTCCATGTATTGCAATTTGATAGAATATCGCATGTCAGTATTTTTGGTCAAGTGATATAGAAATTGTGCCCAAGAACAACACTGTCTGGCTCAGGCATCTAAGATTACCTGGAACATGTCCTTCAGTATGCCCAGAAATAGCACGCCTTTGGGTTTTGATCTGCTGGTGAGTTACTAGATGGCATTGCCTTAGGCTGTGGGTTTCGTGATAATTGTACTAGGATAGAAAGCGGAATTGTTTTTGCATTAAGCTCATTATCATTAGAAGTTGTATGGCCTTAGGCATGCCCTTCATTCAGCCATGTGTATTGAATTGCTGCTGTGTGCCAGACCCTCCTTATTCTGGGGCCGGGTGCTCTTGTGTGCTGTGGGTTCCCCATCCAGCTACAGGATTTGGAAACTCAGGTGTGATGGGTGGTGCCAGATAGGATGGGTTAGGTATGTGCACTTGAACTGTCAGATAAGGCTTAGAGGAGATTTGTTTTGAGAGCGTCATGCAGTCTTTGGACAAGTAGCAGGCAGCTCTGGATAGCAAGATGAGCAAGAACAAGGGGAACGAGAATTGAATGGAAGAGAGAGCGGGATTTACAGACTTTGCTGCTTCAAGCCATTGCTTCAAATTTACTCCTCTATGTGTGTTCATTTCCTGTGACCACTCTGACAAACTACAGCAGTCGCTCCTGCTCACGATTTCACTTTCTGTGGTTTCAGAACAGTGTCTAAAAGTAGTCAACAGAAAATTCCAGAAATACGTAGTTCGTATGTCTCCAGTGACTTCCTGTTCTGTGTGACTTGAGATCTCATGCAGTCATGCTTGGTTTGCTTAGGACATGAGTCAGAGTTACCCACACTGTCTGCTGCTTACCCTTCTCATCCATCCTGGTTCCCAGTTCCGTTGTCTCATTGGCCCAGTGCTGTGTTTAAGTAACCCTAATTTCACTTAATAATGTCCCTGAAGCACAAAGCAAAGAAGGCCCGAGTACAGCAGAAGGACAGGGCAACTCTGGTGCCATGTGACATCACTGTGAAGCGCCTGGAGAGACTCAGCACGACCTGGGCTTCAGGAACACAGTAGGAAGTCTTGACCACATCCCTCACAGAGAAATGGGGACTTCTGCACAGCAAAGTGGGTTTCTTAGATCTGTGGAAGTTTATTTCTTTAGAGTATTTGGGCCAGAAGTCAGAAATCAAGGGGCCAACAGGCTCACACCTACTAGGGAGGCCTTTGGGGTGTTTTTTCTTTTTTTTTTTTTTTTTTTTCCTGCTGCTGGTGGCAGCCAGTGTTCTTGTCTTGTGGCCACGCTTCTGTCTCAAGTGTCTCTGCTCACTGGTTACTGTAGAGCCCACTGATTAATCCAAGGATGAACACAGTCCCAGCATCCTTACTCATATCTATAAACACTCTATGTTCAAAAAAGAGCAAATTCACGGGCTGGGGCGATGACTCGGTGGATAAAGTGCTTGCCACACAAGCATGAGGACCAGAGTTTGGATTCCCAGCATTTAGACAAAAGCCAGGATGGGCAGGGTAACCCATCTGTAATCCCAGGCCTCACACAGGAGGTGGAGAAAGAGAATCCCCAGAGCAAGCAATCTCGCCAGACTACCTGACCAATCAGCAAGGTCTGGGTTCAGAGACCCCACCTCAATAGATAAAGAGAAAGATGATCATACATCAACTTCTGGCCTCCACATGCACCAGCACAGACATGCACAAACACATATGTGTGAACACACACGAATGCACGACACATACACAAGCAATAAGAAAGAGCACACATAGATTATGGGATTAGGGTATAGACATATCTTTTGGGGAGCCACGGATAACCCCATGACAGGGAGGAAGAAGTTCAAAAGTGTATAGAGAGCAAGCAGAAAACAAAGTTGTGCCTGGAGGAAGATGGAGGAAATGGGTCTTAGGGTCCTAAAGCCACCCTCACCACCCCAGCCTTGATGGTGCTTTTGCGTTTTTGCTTCGGAACCCCTAGGCCCCCAGAGAACACACTTTGTGAACAATTGCCGGTGAGGTGGGTCTAGGTTCTCAGCGCCTCATTGGATGGGGACCCATTTGGTCTCGCTTCTTTCCAGGCAGTCTGTGCACGCAATAACCGGTGACCAGGGATAGCAGGTACTTACTGAAAAATATCCTTTTAGTGCCCATCTTTGGATTTTATGTTGAAGTGTGACTCGGGTTAAATATAAAATTCACAGCATATCTTGAGCAACTATTTTGTAGTTATCTATATATAAATCTATTTTACAGCGACACAAATAGAATAGATTATGGAGTGTCAGCATGTAGATAGATTCCGAATGCTTTTTCCCTAATATACCTAATGATTCGTGCTGAGAATATCCAAGGGCTCCACTGTACATTTAAATGGATATAATTAAAATAATGAGCTCTATTTTAAAAAATGATATATGAAAAAAAATTTAAAGAAGTTAGAAGAAACTGCACCACTAATTCAAAGTGATCTAAGTACTTCTGTGATGCCTTTGTTATTAGGACACCTAATTAAATGCGGAGCAGCTGAGAAAAGCAACGTTTGGGCTTGTAAATCTACACGTAGAAGTCAGGGAAGAGCGGGAGTTGCCCGTGTCCTTGATGCTGCCAACATTTTCCGAGGGAAGCGGTGGTTCTATGCTGTGCAAGCCTGTGAGAGAATGCATTCACATGGTCCCTTGTCCTCTGTGGGCTAAGGTAGGGGTCAGGCCGCTTATACGGCAGTCAGCCGTATTTCCAGCTCTTATTTATTTAGGATATGGGTGGAACTCAGGGGAGTCTGTCTCACTGCCCTTGTGAGGAAGCCATTCTCTGCTTCCCACCGAGTAGGGCACCAAGTAGGAAGGGCAGTGGACAGGGAGTCAGGAGATGATTCAAAGCCTGGATCCTGGGCTTTGCTCCATGTGCTGAGTCTTCCCGAAGTATATTTCGGCGCAGGCAGATGGATATGGGTACCACAAGTGAGGGTCCACGTGCTGGCCCAGTGGGCCCTTGGGAGGCACAGCAGGCTAAAGTCCCAAATGCAGCTTAGCAGGAGGGAAGCGTTCTTTTGGTCACTCACTAAGCATGTATGGCATTTAAGGAGCATCCACTGTGTCTGAGTGCTTGCTGTATGCAGTGGTTTGCAGACTGCTGTTAGGTGTGTACAATGGGCGAGTTGTTAATGGGTGAGACATTTTCAGATAGCAGACAGGGCTGGGCTGCAAAGTAATAGAATAAGGGCTGACCTGGAGGCTGGACAGTGAAGTCAGAAAGGGGACAGCTGTGCCAGGAAGAATTCATAAACATGCATGAGAGGATAGGATAGTTGGTAGAAGTCACTGGTGTAGGAGAGATGTGACAGCCACAGAGGGAGTACGGCTCCTGAAGGCTTTGAGTGGCAAGAATGACGTCATGAACCATGTCGTTATCATAATGACAGCCCCACTCTGTGCCAGTGCCCCAGCTCCTTACAGATCCCCTTACCTGTGCCTGCAGCTGGCAAAGGTCATGGTCTTCCTCAGGGAGGGCTTTTGACTCAGTGTTGCAGAGTATGTAGGTCGGCAGGTAAGAGCTACACAGTATGACTCCACAGCTCCTCCTGCCTCCCATGTGGCTTGGTACCTCTTTGCAAGCCAGAAGGGACACAAGGTCTTGTCCAGGAAAATAGAGCTGAACTTTAGAACATGGGGGACAGGCCTCTGTCCCATAGTCCAGCATGGTAGAGTTGGGGTTTGGAGCCCCATTGTTTAAATTCAGTGTCCACACCTTAGCTATAAGGCATGTATGAGTCTTCCCTTGCATCTTCTGTACTCTCTGTGCTAATCTGTTTTCTGTTACTGTAACAAAATATCCAAGGCTGGGTATTTTGTAAAGAAACGAGATTTGTTCAATTCACAGTTGGGGAAGTTCAAGAGTCAGCATGAACTCAACTCTAGTGAAGCCTCCTGATAGATGGGGAGACAGGCTCCAAGGCGGGGTGATGGGACCAGGCTTCTCAGTAGGGAAGTCGCAGCCACTGTTTGTGCTAGTCTCCTTGGACGGTAGTAGTAGAACGTCCCAGCCTGGGTAGTTAATGGAATACTAGACATATCCTGGAGGCCAAGTCAGGAGTCAGCTGGCTTGGACTCTAGGGAGAACCACTACCAGCTTGAGACAGCCACTTTCACCCTGTGTCCTGACTCGGAGGAGAGTGCCTCTTGCTATATTTATTTATTTGTCTCGTGGGGGAGGGGTGTGCCATAGCACCCGAGTGGAGGTCAGAAGACAACTTGTGGGAATCAGTTATCTCCTTCCATCATGTGGGTCACGAGGATGAAATGCAGGTCTTCAGGCTTGGGGACAAGCACTTCTACCCACTTAGCCTTTCCACTGGTCCAAGAGTGCTTCCTGTAAAATGGGTAATCCAGTCATGAAGGCCCTACCCTGGTGACCTCATTTAACCATAATTCCCTCCAATCATTCCAACTCTGGTAAAAGTCACATTGGAGATTTGGAAATTAACATGGGAATTGGGGAGGGGTCATTGCTGACCCAGAACACCTCCCAAGTGGCCTTTCTCTGTGCCTCCCTTGTTAGCAGACCCTCCTGGGCTCTCTCTTGGCTCCCGCTCTGAGAGTCATCTATGGCTGCAGGGTCAGCACGTAAGTTAAGCACATTGATCTTGTGGCTGATGGAGGTGCTAAAGTCCAGAGAGAAGGGGCTTGCATAGGGCCACATGGCAGGGTCCCTGCAGATCCAGGACCCTGCTTCCACATGCCCGGGGCTCTGCCTCCAGGCCCTGCTACCTCTTGGCTTGCCATCTGGCTGGGCCTGAGTAGGCCTTGAGTCTGGGCTTCTATGAGCAGTGTAAAGGTTGGGGGCAGGGCTGGGCAGTATCCCTGAGCCAGAAGTGAGACTTGCTTTCCATCTTGTACCTGCCTGACCTTCCTCACCTCCCAAACAGAAGTCGTGATAGTTCACCTGTTAGAAGGATGTGGGACCCTTAGGATGACACAGAAAATCATGCTGAAAAGAAAGTGACTCAGGTGTGGGTGCCAGAGCCTTGGCTCCATTCATTCACCACCCACTGCTTTTGTGGGTGGCCTGGGAAAGTCACAATTCTGTTCTGAGCTCAGTGTCCCCTCATCACAGAATTCCTGAACACGCCAAACTCCCTGCCCAGCTTTGTCAAACCTCAGTCTCCTGAGTTTTCTGGTGCTTGACGAGCCACCTGTGCTGAATTGTTGACTGCAATGATGTCTCTATCACCAGAGCCTCTTGGGATGGGAGTTTCCCTCTGTAAAGCGGGAATAGGGAAGAGCTTGGGTGAGCTCTGTGGCCCTGCTGTCAAGGAATAGGAGAAGAGTTCACAAGACATGTGGCCTGTTCAGATCATCAAAGCACTCACTGCTCACAGTGCCACTTGAAGACCAGGCCCCAGCTTGGCCTGGGACTTGTTAGAAATGCAGTCTCAGTCCTAGACCCAGACTGCCTGAACCAGACCCATCAGTGCCTCATCTTTTAAAAAATGCTTTTATGGCTGGGCATGGTGGCTGTATGCCTTTGATCCCAGCACTTGGGAGGCAGAGGCAGGAGGATCTTTGTGAGTTCAAGGCCAGCCTGGTCTACATAGTGAGTTCCAGGACAGCTGGGGCTATAGGGAGATCCTGTCTCAAAAAGACAAAAAAAAAAAAAAAAAGTTTTTATTGGGGCTGGAGAGATGGCTCAGCAGTTAAGAGCACTGACTGCTCTTGCAGAGGACCCAGGTTCAATTCCCAGCACCCACATGGCAGCTATGAACTATCCTTAACTCCAGTTCCAGGGGAATCCGAAGCCCTCTTCTGACCTCCATGGCATTGTACAACACGGGTGTGCTCACATACATGCAGGCAATATACTCATGAACATGAAATAAAAGTGATGAGACATTTAAAAAAGTTTTTATTATTTTTATTTTATGTGTATGAGTGTACCTGCATGTTTGTAAGTGCACCCGTGTTGTGCAGTGCCCATGGAGGTCAGAAGAAGGCATTGGATCCTCTGGAACTGGAGTTAGGGACTGTTGTTAGCCACCATGTGGGTTCTGGGAATAGAACCTGGGTCTTCCACAAGAGCAGCCAGTGCTCTCAACCACTGAACCATCTTTCCAGTCCCAAGGCCACATCTTGAAGCTAGACAGAAACAACTTTCCATCAGTCAGAGGTGTCTTCTAAGGATGTTTGTAGCTCTAGTCGTGAAAAGCACAAACATTCCTGGAAGTCTCTAGACCTCAGCTTCACCAGCTGTAAAATGGGGCAGTGTGGGAGGCTAAGTGGCCATACCTTTTACTTAATACACAATCTCATGAGTCTCTATGGTGCCGTGGGCTGGTGGGCTTCCATTTGTGTCGGGGGGTTGTTATGGGTCCACTCTAAACAGACTCTCTTCTTTCCCAGGGAGCGCTTGAAGCGCAGCCAGAAGAGTTCCAAGGTGGAGGGCCCAGAGCCAGTGCCTGCGGAGGCCTCGCTGAGCGCCGAGCAGGGGACGATGACGGAGGTGAAGGTGAAGACGGAACTGCCCGACGACTACATCCAAGAGGTTATCTGGCAGGGCGAGGCCAAGGAGGAGAAGAAGGCAGTCAGCAAAGATGGGACAGGTGATGTGCCTGCAGAGATCTGCGTGGTGATTGGCGGGGTCCGCAACCAACAAACCCTGGGTGAGTTCCCATCTGGGTGATGGCCGGGAACTCAGGGCCAGAGTTTGGAAAGGTGCTGGCATCTCTCGCCCACTGGGAGACAGAGCTTTCTGTGGCTTCCTCTGCCCCAGGGAGAGAGCAGACTCCAGAGGGTCCTTCACATGATCAGTTCTAGCCTAGAGGGTTCTTTGCTGCTGGAGCAAGACCCCACACTTCCATCAAGCCCAAAGCCATCAGGTCAGATTCTTGGAACTTCTGCCAGCCCAGTGAATCCCTCACACCTGAGGCCCCCATGTCCTTGGCAGGCCAGCACAGACCTTACCATTTGGTCGTGTTTTGTCTGCCAGTGTAGTTCCTGGTCAGATTGATGAGTGACAGACAAGCACCTTCCTGTTCCTGAGGAGCCTAGTAGAAACCAGTCTGTAGCTCCCTTGTGGGATCCCCCACACTACTGCTGGGTTCTGGGATTCAGATGGTTACAAGGCTGAATGGATAGACTGATTTATCATATACAGAGAGAGCCAGGACAACAGATGGTGGGGACCTTGCCTAACTGGAGCTCCACATGCAGAGGGCAACTGCCTTGATCGCTTGGTGGGGACTCAGGCTCGGCCCTGCTAGATCTCTGCACAGATCCCATTCCACATGTGACCATTTTGGTGTAAAGTCTTCTGGCTTTCAACATTGACTCCAAGGTTGGCTTTTGAATTCTGACAAATAAAACATGTTGGTGGCTCCACATCGTTCCAAGGACCAGGAGTTTGAATCATCAGGTCTGTGAAACAGTGCCCTGTTCCTTACCCTGGCGCTGAGGCCCTGCTTGGTCCGACCTCAGATGTGCATATCGATCTGCGCCTTCCTTCACCACTTCTGTGCTCAGCATGTTCCTCCCCCATTACCTGGTGCCCTTCCCAGTCCAGTTCTAACCTGCTCCTTCTGGCTTCCAAGTACCTCTGTCTTCCTGGTGTGTACACTGGATGTGGCCCACAGGCCTCATGGGAAGATGCCCTTCATTTGTTTCCATAAATTCAGCCTCATATCCTTTTGTCTTTTCTCCTTAGCTGTTGGCCTGGCCCCTGCTCCTTGCCCCTGCCTGGCATAACTTGTCCTTCCAACCAGTTGCAAGGAGACCTTAGCAAACACAAAACACACACCACCATGTTGCCCTCTGACACCAGCATCTGTAGACTCCTGGCATCTTTGGAATCACGGCTACACCATTAGATCCTCTTCCCAGATCTCACATCCCAACACTCCTCCTGGACCTAGCTTAAGCTGGTCCCCCTTCTGGAATGCCTTTGTCCATTTCCTAGTTCAACGTGTCCTTCAAGGTGGCCAGTTCTAGTGCCACCTCCTTCCAGAATCCTTCCCTGGTCTCTGGTCAGAGGGATCTGCTTGGACCATGCCCATCCCTGCTGAAACCGGGATCCCTAGAGGTTAGAGCTCTGTGACCTGTCTTATTCCTTTCTCCATGCTCCCCACTTCTTGTTCCATAGTACCTGGCAAGGTGCTGGCTTGTGGGAAGCTGTGTTGGTGTTGTGACTTTCAGGGGCTAGGCAATGTTGCAATAACAAAAGGTCTTAAAAGGAACAAGAGGTCATAGCTGGGCGCACCTTTAGTCCCAGCACTCAGGAGGCAGAGACAGGTGGATCTCTGAGTTCAAGGCCAGCCTGGTCTACATAGTGAGTTTCAGGCCAGCTGGGGCTATGGGAGACCCTGTCTCAAAAAGACAAAAAAATTAAAATAAAATAAAAAGGAACAAGAGGTCTTGGTAACTCAAAGTCATTAAAGTTGATTTTGTCTTGACACTCTGTCCTTTGTGGATCACGGTAGAGGGTAGCAAGTTCAGGCTGGATTCAGGCTGAATTCAAGCAAGCTGTTAAATGCTTTAACCCAAAAGGAGAGGTGTGGCTTCCATGTACAGCCACCAGACAGACTTAGTCCTGTGGCTCACCCACCTGAGGGGGCTGGAGATGTGAAAACATTTGATATGGAGTCTCGCCCGACCTTTACCCATCCGCATCACCCCTCAAGGCCAAGAACCAAGCTCCCCCAGGGCCTGGGAATAGAGGAGAGGATGCACCCTTGTTCCCAGTGAGGTGAGTTTGTTAAGACTCTTTAGACTCAGCAGCCTTTGCCGCCCTTCCCCAGATGCCATGTAAAGGGTAGCTGAATGCAGATCTGGTGAGAGAAGCCTCTAGCAACTCATCCAGGGAAATGTGGAGAGCTCTTCCCCTAGCCAGCTGCCTGCACAAGGAGGGCCCTGGGCCCTGGAGCCTCGTGCCAGCCCCTGGTACTCATTTCCATCTCAACTGCTGCTCAACAGCCAGGTCTCTGGCCTTGCTGTCTATTAGTGTCCTTGTCTGTTGAATCATGCACAGCCCCATCCTGGCCACCTCATGGATGTGGGTGTGGAAGCAGTAACAGACAAGAAGTGTTGGATGAGACGCTCAGCTCCTGCGAGGCCTGCGATGGGACACATTCAGGCCCTCTCACTCCTCACTTGCGCTGTGGAGCCTTGAGCAAGTTACCTCAGTGCCCACCAGGCAGATTCGTGGGTCCTATGAGGATGAAGTGAGGAGCATGCGAAGTGTCCAGCACGGTGCTTGGTAAAGGGTAGATGAGCCTTTAACAGTAGTAGTTTGAGTGTTGATAATGTGGAATGGAATACTGTTCAGGGCCAAGAGTCCCTCCCTGCTTTTCTCCCTAGTCTAAGAGAGAAGCCAGTGTCTTAGGGAAAAAAAAAAACAGATAAGTGCCCTTTTGAGTATGTATCTTGTATAGCTTCCCTGCACACTCTGGAGGAAGAGGTTGTAGAAGCCCCAGAGTTGAGCTCAAGGCCATTTGAGATGCTGTGCCACACAGGGCCAGTGTGCTCCCTACTGGCCATGCAGCTTCTCTCCTGTCTCCAAGGTAGGCCGTCTTTGGCATGTGGTTTCTACAGAGGTTCAGGCTCAGAGGAAGCTGTCCCGACCTTGTCACCAGCCAAGGCAGCCACTGAAAGAACTAGATGAATGTGAGAAGGAAAGCTTTTAAACTCATCTCCTGTGGGCAGTAGGCTACACATGCTATCAGTTGATACCCAACCTTGTCATTTAAACACACACACACACACACACACACACACACACACACACACATGAGGTCAGAGGACAGCTTGTGGGAGTTGGTTCTATCCTACCACGTGAGTCCAAGGGAAAGAACTCAGGTCTTCAGGCTTGGCAGCAAGCACGTTTACCCACTGAGCCATCTCACTGGTCCAACGCCATTATTGTCTAGAGAAGCAAAGTGCTATGGAAAACAGGAGAGTTGCTCAGCCACACAGCATTCTGGTAGCATGCTGTTTGTGTTGCAAAGAGCCCACTCACTTCATAATATCTGTTTTTCTTCCCGCTTCTGAGCGTGACTGAGAAGGAACGTGAGAAACTGGTTTGAGCTGGCCTTTAGTGAGTTCATGCCACAGTGTGCCTTCTGTGCCCTGGTGGCCACATATAGGGCGTTCATGTTCCTGAGGCACTTAGCAGAGAGTGTGAGCTTTGCTCACCCAGCACCCTCTGAGCTCGAGCTCAGGCTCTGTTGCTGAATAGAATAATGTTCCTATTCAGTCACCCAGCTCTGGGCTTCAAGAGCCTCCCAGACCTCACTGGACCTTTAACAGCCATCAAACAAACTGTTCCCAGAGACACAAACATTATCCAAGGGATTTCCCATGAGGAGCCTGGGTCATAGCCTCCTGGATGGCATCAGCAGGGAGAATCCTGCCATGGGCATGCTAAGAAGGGTGTGTCTCACTCTTATATCTCAGGGCAGTTGCAGCTGGTGTGGGGCCTAGGGGCCAGACCTGGCTTCCTTTTTTAGTAAGAGCAGAGATGATACTGAATTTGATGATGTTGTTGGCTAAAACCAGAAGTGAATGGATGAGTTAGCAGGTGCTTTGTCCGACAAGCAGCAGGCACAGCTCTACTCCAAAGCCTGAGGAGGGGCCAAAGCACACAAGGTTTCAGCTCCTCTGTGAAAAATGCCTCACAGGAACCACTGTTTACACTCCCAATTCTATGCTCATGGCCGGCATCATGAGTCGACTCCTGTAGTGTCCCAGCAATTGTACCTCAGAATTCTTCTTAACATAACACACCAAGAAGCCACTGCCAATCAACTAGAATCAGAAAATTATAAGTGGGAACCTGTTCACCATCCTTATGCCAGATGACCATATGGCCAGGTGGGCTTACCCCAGTCAGGACATCCACTGTGGACCATTGGCTGGACCCTAGAGATGAGCTAGGCACCCATCCTGGTTTGCAAAAGGTACCATCAAGCAGTCAGTGCTCTTTTCCAGGCTGTGGGACTAATCAGGGGGTCTTAATCCCAAGAATATGAGGGGTCTCAGGAAGGGATCTTGTATGTGGAGACCCCTGTATATAGAGGGAGGGTGTGGCCCAGTCTCCACTGGACTCTGCTTCTTATGAAAATGTAGACCAGCCAGCTCATTGTCAGGTGTTAACACAGAGAGGAAAGAAACATGTGGACAAACCAAAGACCATGTGCCCTGAGAAAGGGCCAAGGGCCAGGGTGGTGGAGTCTAGATAGCCACAACCTATCTAGACTGACCTGACATGCTCCAGAAGGCCCAACCAATATGGATCACCACCAGAAAACAATTGAATTGTTTGGCAGCCAAGCAAAGGAGTCGTTTGGCAGCCAAACACAGCCTGCGAAGGAGTGAGTTCCCTATCGTGGAGGTGAGCAAACAGAGGGCGGCTAGCCAGGCTGCAGGCCGAGTGTCAAGGGTCAGATGGGAGCTGGATTCTGCAGGGAGGTGTCCCAGGCAGCGAGCAGATCAGAGGCATCAAGGGAGAACACAGTTTTTATACACACAAAGCTGCCCTGGAAAGGAGGAAGAGGGAATCCCAGCCAGGAGACAGCCATGGCCAGGGCTGTGGAAGGAGAGAGTTCCACAGCCACTCAGATGTAGCCACGTGGGCTTCGGTCCTTGACAAATCCAAGTGGTGAAGATGCCAGGTCCAGCTTGGCAGTGCCAGCTGATAATGTGTTTCCTGTTTCAATAGGCTGCTGGCAGGGCTTGGTGCCTGAGCCTGCCAGAGGCAACAGTCAGTTCTTTGCTGCAGCCATGCAGGAGGGAGGGGTCCTGGCCACCCTCCTGGGCCACTCTCCATCTGGGGTAAACTGGGAAGGGACCCGGCTGGAGAATCCCTGTTGGAAAGGGCTCTTGGCTGCAAGTTGGGAGACCCAGAGTCTGCCCTGCCTGGAAGCCTTGGATGAACCAGTGCCTAGAATGCTCGATGGTTTATGTCTGCCCAGATTCCCAGCTTCAGTTGGACAAGAGGAAGCAATAGCACTGAGTCTCTTAAAAGGAGGCTAAAACACAGCTAACACTGGATCAGCTGAGGCCTCAGGGCATTGACACCTCCAGGGCGAAGCTCTGACCCATAATTATATCAAAGGAACAGCTAACACTGGATCAGCTGAGGCCTCAGGGCATTGACACCTCCAGGGCGACCTGAGGGAAGATAGGAGCCTAACAGACCAGTGTGTCAAACACCTTTAGTTCAGTGCCTCCTAAAAGAATTTTTTTGTGTATCTAACTTTTATCCAAAGTTTTACTAATTGCAAAGGTTATAATTCCTGGAATACTGTATTTTTTTTCAGATGACGTGTTTGAAATGAAGCTCTGACCCATAATTATATCAAAGGAGTCCCAACACCAGTACTATTTGTAGTTCACCATTGTCACTTTAAAAACATGCAAATGAGCTAAAGTTTAGCAGACCGAAATCTTATCTCTTTCATTTTTTCTTCTTGAACTCCTGTTTCCAGTCCACTTCCCCCACAGGGTTTTATCCTGATGTAATATATTTTTTATGCCTGAAGGTCTTTTATTGATCACGCTTTCACACTCATCTGGCACAACAAGAGGTACATAAATTGAAATAGAAACTTCTGGGGAAAAAAAATTCCTGGGATCATAAAGCTCTATGTTTTAAAACCTTTTATTTTTTTCCAGATTGAGTTGTTATTAGCATGTAATTTGTCAAAAACAAATCTAGATAGATAGTAAATGTAAAAGTAAAAAATTTTCAAAAACGCACTTCTTGATGAAACGAACAGGGCTTGCTTTCTTTCTCAATTGGCTAGTGTATCTGTGAATTCATATTTCTTACTGCTGGAATGAGACGGGACTCAGCCTTCATTTCATGCTGTTTTTCGGCATTTGTATGGTAAGCGCTAAGAAGGCCAGAGCGTGTGAACAGGCAGATGGTGACGTGGGGTTGGCTTCATGGCGTCACTTGATTCTTTGAACTCCTTCCAAAATGTGTGCCAAAACCCACATGGGGCTGTCTTGAGACGATGTTTTTAATGACCTCTTCATTAACAACTATGTTAGATCTGTGCGTATGTGCGTGCATACGTGTGTATGTGTGTGTGTGTAGTGTGTGTAGATTGTGTGAGTGCATGTTTGTGTGTACACATGTGCATGTGGGTGCATTTGCACATATGTGCATGTGCATGTGAAGACCAGATGTCAACACAAGGTGTCTTCCTTGATTACTCGCCACCTTTTTAAAAAATTTCCACCCTAGTTTTGAAGTGGTCTCCCACTGAACCTGCAGCTTACCAGTTGATTTGACCGGCTGGCCAGGGAGTCCCGGGATCCTCCTGTCTCCACTCCCCACAGCACTGGGGTTACAGACATGTACCACCATGCCTGGCTTTCTCGTGGGTGCTAGGGATCCACGCTGAGGCCCTCATGCTTGCACGGCAGCCACTTTACTGACTGAACCATCTCCCTACCCCCACCCCCCCATCTTCATTTTGGATGAAAGCGGAGAATCGGAAAGCCCTGAATTAAAAACAGAAGCTGTCCCCAAGTCTTTAGATCCAGTCACTTTCTCTCTGCGTTGAGCTCCAAGTTTGTAGACCCTAGAAAGGATTACAGGCTGGAAGGATGGTCTTTGCTGGTAACCAGGAGAAACTGAAGGAGAGAGTGGAAGGGGAAACCAGCAGTTGAAGCCTCTGCCAGCACCTGCTCTGGTGCGATGGTTTTAGGAAAGAAGCGCTTGGAACCTGACCACAGGAAGTTGATTCTCTTAATCCTCAAGTGCCCTAGCCAGCCTCCCCAACTTCCAGGACTCTGTCTTTTTTTGGAAGACCTGCTCCAGAGGGCATTCAGTCTGATGACCCTGTCTTTAGCAAGTTCTGGGCCCAGCTGCTGTGGTTTCTGGGACCTGAGAGGCCTAGAGACCCATGTATCTTCTGTCTGTCATCTCCCATCCCTCTGCTTTGGTTGTCTGTTGTCTTATACTTTGCCTAGGTGTCTGAGCTTCCCTGGGCCTGGGTGGGTGTTCGCACTAGCAGTCGAGGGTTCATCAGTATTCCCTGTGCTCAGAATCCTGCCTCTTCTCCTGGTCCTTTCCCGCTAACCCCTTCCACGGGAGGGCACCAAGTCAAGGCTTCTGTCAGGTGCTTAGCAAAGTGCTAGGTGGGAGCTGCTAACAAGGATCTGTTTTGTGGCCTGGGAGCTATGGATTCTTGGTACAGCCAAAGTGAGGGTAGGAATGGGGCAGGGAGAGACTGGGCTCCCACGGACTGCAGACCCTTGTCAGCTGTTCCCCGCAGCCATGCCAGGGCATTCATTTGGGGACTCTTGAGAGACCCAGGGTGGTATTGAACCCAGAAGGGACTTTCTTGCTCTGCAGTGTGGAGCCCTAGCACAGATGAGAACGTAGCTTGTGTGGCATCCAGAAAGAGACCTGCCATGGTGGCATGGGCATGACTCTGGAACCCTGAAGGCCACCCTCAAAGCCTACGGCCTCACCAGCCATGGAACCCCAGACCCGGGCACCTCTAGGACCATGTGAATCAGAGTAACTGGAGGGGTGGTTGGAGACGGAAAGTGAGGCTTGTAAGTGGTACCTGCTCACAAGCACCACCTCTGAGGTGCTTCCCCAGCCATACTGGTGCAGTGGAGCTGCTCTACAGTGAGGGACGCATAGCCGAGCGACCTCACTCAGGGCAAGGCATGTTGTGTCGCCCCTTCCATCCTCGTTTCCTCCATTGAAAAATGGGATAATAATTGGCCTTCCCTTCTGGAGCCGTGAGGACGAGCTGAACTGATGGGAGAAGCCTCTGAACCAGGACCCTGAGCCACCAGGAGCTCGGCAGCCTGGCAGATTGTAGCACGCACCTTGCCTAGCCTCTGCTCCCTCTCCTGTGTGGGGTCAGAGGTCAGCCCATTCTGAGATGTCCCACGTGACACGAGTGGCAGCCCCTGGCAGAACACACCTGGCACTTAGCAGGCAGATGGTGGCAGCCATCACAAAGGAAATGTGAGTGACCAAGGAGCCAGCGGAAGAGGAAGTGTGCAGGGCAGGAGTCCATGGCACGCATGGGGGCGGGGGGGGTCTCAGCTGACAGTACCAGCAGCATTCTTCCACTACCCCAGCACCATCCTGGGGTCAGTGGTGGCCATGCCAGGGGATACAGGTCACAGCAGGCATGGCGTGCATCTTCTTCAAGGGTCATTTTGTTTTGGAGGAAAGTTTTGTGTTATGCCCATGTGTTAATTAGGATACCAAGAAAACAAAACTTCGGGGTTTTTAGTCTACTGACTGTTCCGCTGGGTAGCAGGTGGATGCCTATGGCCAGAACTAGGACTAGTATTGCATTGTTTTGTTTCTTTTGTGTGTGTGCAAATACGTGTTTGTGGGGTGGGAGGGTTACATATGCCACGTGTGCATGTGTATATAGAGGCCAGAGAACAACCTTGGGTATTTATATATTCCCCAGGTGCCATACACCTTTTTTTGAGTCAGGATCTCTCACTGGCCCAGAGCTCACCAAGTATGCTAGGCTGGCCGGCCAGCAAGCCCCAGGGATCCTCCAGTCACTGCCTTAGCAGTGCTGGGATTAAAAGAGTGCATCACCAGGGCTACCTTTAAAAAAAAAAAAAAAAAGAAAAGAAAACGAAAAACAACGTGGTTTCTGGGATGGAACTCAGATCCTCATTTTTGCAAGGCAAGCATTTTACCAACTGAGCTATCTCCCAGCCCTGCTTATTTGTTTTGAGACAGTGTCTCGCTCAGTCTGACCTGAAATTTACTATGTGGTGTAGGAGGCTAACCTCGAACCTGCCATCCTCCTGCCTCAGCCTCCTGAGTGCTGGGATCATAACAGGCATGTGCCACCTCACCCAGCTGCTGGCACACATTATCAAGTGAGGAAGTTGACATGATGGTCTTTCCTATCCTTACCAGTGTCAGCTGGGGAGACAGGTCCTGACAGCTCAGGTGCTTGGCCACTCCCCACCCCCAGCTGGCCCCACCCCTTCAATAACTCCCAGGCATTCTCCACTGTTAAGGGCTCTTTCTGATTTCTTACGTAATTCAGATGGAAAAGCTCCCGAAGGCAGCCCCCACGGCGGATCTGTGCGGAGCCGGTATTCAGGGACCTGGATTTTTGACCAAGCTTTGAGATATGCATCTGGTACGTGATGGCTGAGGGACAAGGCCTGATCCGGGTCAGAATGGGGGTGGTGGGCATGGCTGGCCACGGCTGCCAGCTGCACACCCAGAGAGAGCAATCCCTGCTAGTGACTCAGGACCCGAGGGGCCACCCTCCCCGACACCCTATCCTACCATTGTGAGTAAATGTGAGCCTAGTCTCACACTCAGGACTGTGGCACTCCTTGAGGGGTAACAGGGCATCTGAAAATCTGTAAGTCTAAATTCTCTGGATCATTTCAGCAAGACTTCCTATGGACCATTGAGGAGTGAAGGGGGAAGGAAAGTCCCATGGCCTGTGCTTGGGAACTCAGGCTTCCTTTCCTGTAGAACTTCCCAACCTGAAGCAGCCTTATGCCTTTCTGGCTCTGGCTTACTGTTCACCACGGTCCTCTCTCCTCCTATGCATTCAGAAAGCTGATTTATAAAGAAAAACTTGGGAAATACTGGTGGTAACCACAGCTATCACTTACTGAGTGTCTGTTGTATGCCAGACCCTGTGCTAAGGACCCACAGTCATGTTGGACCCCACTCCCATGGGCATAGTTGACATAGAGGAACCCTGAGAGGCTAGTGTTTCCTGACAGCTTTCCTGACTAGTTCTCAGTGAGTCAGGATTTGAACCCAGGTTGACTGCCCTTGCTGCTCAATGAGGCTGCCACTATGGTAAGCTCTGCCATTTATTTGCCCACCTAGCACCTTCCACACACAGGGCACCTGAGGCCCAGGGACTGGGACTGAATGGAGGGTGGGCTCAGGAATCCTTCAGTTCATCCTCACTCTACCAGTGATAGGGAGATGAGCAGAGGCTGCACACGGTGCGGCATGAGCTCTCAACTCTCCACAGGCAGAGGAAGGATCTCACTTGTTATAAACAGCATTGACTCCATGGGCTTTGCCTTTCACTATGACTGGGCCAGGGTCCTGCCTCCGACCTTCAGGTCCTTCTCTAGTTATCATAACACCATCACCAAGTTGTCCCCAGGCCTCCTGGCCTGGCTGCCCCCCATTAGATGGAGGGCAGGGATCACATCTAGCTCACTGTGGGACCTCAGTGCCTGACCATTGCAGGTGCTCTGCAAATCTCTGGTTGGTGAAAGGAAAACGGACAGAAACTGTTGGAGAGTAAGTGGCAGTGGCAAGAAGAGACTCAGGACATTATCACACGGTGACAGATGAGTACAGCAGCAAGCCACCATGAATCACTGAGCCCTCACTGTGTGCCAGTCATAGGGTTGATTGCAGAGAAACATGCACGATCTTGCCCCTGCATGTGTTTGTCTTTCCCTGTGTGGCAGGGATGATGTATGCTCAACCCCCTAAATGACAGAGCGATGCACCGGCCACCCCAACCCCGCCCCCAGTGCTTCCACCATGTCAGCCAGTGGCTCACGTGTCCTCTCAGTAGCTTGCTCTCAGTATGAGAGGCAGGAGCCACCGTCGTATTGGCTAGTGAGGAATCCAAGGCGCAGATAGCTGCAGGGGTATGTCTGAGATCAAGTAAGCCAGGCTGACATTGAGAAGCCTTCAGACTGCCAGGCTCGAGGAAGCAGAGTTAGTGGTCACTGCCACTTCTCATGTGTCTGCGGGGAACAGTTGGTGTGTATCCAGCCTTCCCATCAGCCCCCTTGCCTTCTCCACTGAGGAAACTTAGGCATAGCCTGTGAATGGCAGAGCCAAGTTCCTTCCCTGGTCCCATTCTAAACCAATGATTCCTCTTCCTGGCTACTGGGTGCCAGAAGCTTCTCAACCCCTATTCAAATCTTTCTGGAAAAGGCAGTTGCCTAGGCCTGCTCCCAGGCCGTTTGAGAACCACACCTGGCCTGGGAGGGGTGGGAAACATTTGCACATGTTCCCTGGGTCTTCTGCTCAGAAGGTTAGGGTCTAGGCCCTAGTTAACCTCAGACCTGCTGGCAGGTAGAGATGGATTCTGTATGATGGGCCATCCTTGGGTCCCCTTGGGGGTCGGCCATTTTAGTTTCTGCTCCTGGGAGGAGTCTCCAAGAGGCAGGAGTCAGGTAGGGGTGTGTGTGTGTGTGTGTGTGTGTGTGTGTGTGTGTGTGTGTGTGTGTGTGTGTGTGTGTGTGTGTTGTGGGACTATTTCTGTGTTTGAGAATGTCATGGATCCTTAGTGGGTGGGGACTGCCCTTGGCGAGCATGTCTGTAGTGGGACTGGACACTTGCTGGGGGAGTACAGGGCCACCTGGAGGGAGAGACTCTAGGTCTTTCTCTCAAACAGACTAAGGTTCGGTTTGTCTGAAGACAGGACCAGGGGCCAGGTATGGCCTGGTTTGGAGTCTGTCCTCTTCCTCTCTGTCCCATGCTGGGAAGAGGACAGCCTAAAACTCCTGTAGTGAATTTAAAAGGTGATATCGTTATGGTGTGGTGACTCCTCACAGAGCTCTTTGGGTCTCTCATTTTTCCTCTCAAGGTATTGGAGGCCATCACCTTCATCCTACAGATTTTGGAAGCAGAGGCCCAGAAATGGGCTGCCTTGCCTTGCCCAGGGACATTGGAGTAGAGTCTGGATGTAAAGCCCAGGCCTCTTGACCTCTAGCCCAATGCTGTCTCTGCTGGTCTGCGCTGCCGTTTTGCCTGCCTAGTGGCCCTATGGGGCCTGGGCCTTATAGTGACAGGGTGACTGATGGGTCCTTTCCTCTTCTGTTTTCCAGGTTCCTATGAATGCGGGATCTGTGGCAAAAAATACAAGTATTACAACTGCTTTCAGACCCACGTGCGGGCACACCGAGGTGAGTGAACACCCCAAGGCCACCCCACCGTACTCCACCTGGTATTCTGGAAGCCCTGAGAGAGCCTCTTTCTTTAGCCATAGGAGGGAGGGCTAGGGAGGAGGGGAGAGGTTTTCTCGATGTGGGAGAATGTGCAGGGGACAAGACTCTAGGCTTTGGCCTTGAGGACTCTGGGCATGCTTATCCCTGCTAGTTGTCAGCCACCGCTCCCCCACCAGGCCGCATGCCCCAAGGTACTTTTGATTCTGAGCTTGGGCCGGTGGCACCTGCCACCACTGGAACCAGGGAGCAGGAAAAGAGGGCAGCTTGGGCCCTGCTGATGTTGGGTTTCAGAACTGAAGACACTGTCTCCCACGGTGTCCATGAGTGGACAGTGCAGGACAGGTTCCCCTCCCCTGCTCCATTCCCAGTCTCTCCCCTGCAATCAGCCTGTCCAGCTGGTTCACCTTCTTCCTTAATGTCTCTTCCACAGACACCGAAGCCACCTCAGGAGAGGGAGCCTCCCAGAGCAGTGAGTACTTTTCCTACCTTGTGGGCTGGTAGGGGCTGAGCACCAGGCATGGAAGGGAGAGAAGCTGTTTCTCCCCAGATGGCCCTGAGCAGCCTTTGAGAAACATGTTGTGGGGGCCAGAAAGTCCTTATGAAACCAGAGCAGCCCTTCTCAAACTGGGTTCCGTGGCATGCTCATTCTGAAGAGGATTAACAGGTGTTCTGTCAGGGAAAGGGTCCTTTGTTACCATGAGCATCTCTAGGAGCCTCCCATGCATTTTGGACACTAGCTCATAGCCTGGGGTTCTGTAGCCTATGGAGGATGGAGAACAGTTCACTCAAAGTAGCCCTGGCCTCAGGCACAGTGGCTTTTTGGTACTTTGTATTAGGATGCCAGATGCTGGGACTGTGTAGGTCGTTAACATCCAGGCAGAGTTGCTCACACCTTCTACTTACTATCCTTCAACCCCATGGGATAGTAAGTGGCCAGCCCACTGGGTGTATGCTGGGGTGAAACCTCTGCCCCTCCCCCCCACATGAGCTTCAGGAGTTCCACCCCAGGTAAATATCCCATAGAGGTGTATGTCTGTGTCCATCAAAAGATATGAGCTAAAGACTGGCGAGATGGTTCTGGGATTAAGAGCATTCACTGCTCTTGCAGAGGACCTGGGTTCAATTCCCAGAACCCATATGGTGGCTAATAACTGTATATAACTCTAGTTCCAGGGGACCCAACACCCTCTTCTGACCTCCAAGGGCATTGCACAGCACAGGTGCACTTACATACATGCAGGCAATACACTCCACACGTAAAATTTTAAAAATAAAATTTTTAAAAATATTTTATTTATTATTTTTATTTTATGCATATGAGTGTATTGCCTGCATGTATGTGAGTGCACCCGTGTCATCCACTGCCATGGAGGTCAGAAGAGGGCTTCGAATTTCCCTGGAACTGGAGTTAAGGATGGTTTATAGCATCCATGTGGGTGCTGGGAATTGAACCCTCAGGTCCTCTACAAGAGTAGTCAGCAGTCAGTGCTCTAAACCACTGAGCCATCTCTCCAGCCCCTAAAAATAAAAAAAAATTTAAGATATGAGCTAAAATGTTCTTAGTGCACTGTTCTGACAGCTCTAAACTGTAAGTCACCTAGACGCCGAGCTTTAGGAGTGGATAAGTGTGCTCACCCAAGGGCTGTGTGCAGAAGAGGAGGTAAGGGGAGCCTAGCTACCCACAGCCATGTGTGCAATGCTCTCAAACCTTCCATCCAGCAGAAGGCAGGTACAGAGTGGTTCATCCTCTAAGATTGTCAGAAAGCACAGACGTGGGGGAGGCGCACTAACGGAAGTCAGAAGATGGCTCACCCTTGGGAGGGGCTTCTGCTTTGTGAGCAATTGGGGCTTTCTATGGGTGGAAAGTGGCCGAGCTTTGTTCTCTGTTGGGGGGTCAAGAAGTGTTCTCTGTTAAGGGCCAGATGGTGAAGAGGTTCTCTACTAAGGTCATGGCATCTCTGTCACAGATCCTCATCCCACACTTGTAGCAGGAACTCCAAAAAGACAACGAGGCTGGCTCTGTCTCTGTCTCTGTCTTCAGTAGTTTCTTCTTTTCCAGTCCCTATGGTCTACCTGTGGTCAGCCACACATTTAAAGGCCTTCCCTATTTATCCTTCCTTCCTTGGCTACTCTGGGCCCCTGGCCTCCCTGGCAACCTGTCAATGGGTCGTTGTGTTCTGACTGGCTTCCCCTATACAGGGCTTTCCGGTGACAAGTGCTGTGGCTGAAAGTATTCTTAGTCCTTCCCACACATCTCTCTTTCTCCTTCTGGGCCACATTCTCCCCATGACCAGGGTGCTGTCTTCTTTGTCCTGTGTCCCACCCTAGGCCAGCCTGGCAGTGTTGCTCAGAGCGCCTAGTAAGCTCATGGGTCAGCCTTGCACGGGGCTGTAGGACCTTGAAGCACAAAGGTCCTGTGGAGAACAGCACCTCCAGCCTTGCCCACTTTGCAGATGAAGACCCTGGGTCCCAGGGAATGCAAGTCTTGCAGCAGTCCAGTCATACATAGAGGCATAGAGGCCCCCTCAGTGAGCTTGTCTCTAGACCCCTGGCATCTGCCAAGGTATTTTCAGAGACCACCAGTGCCACAGAAGAGGCACAGAAGAGGGCAGAGGTGAGAGGAAAGGAGGCTGGTGCCCTTCGCGTCCCTGAGTTCAGCTGAGATGGGACCAGAAATCTCTACCTCAGGCCAGAGTGGTACAGCTTTGGGATAGAGTATCTTATTGGCTACTATATGGGGTGCAGGCTGAGGAACAGGAGAGGAGTCCAGAGGAAAGCACACGGTATTGCTTATCCCTCCAGAGAAAGGCCATGACCACTGACTTGGAGTTAAGAGGGCATTTGGTCCCTGGCTCTCTCTTCTCCCCTCTGTACAACCTTGAGCAAGTTGTCACACCTCTGCAGGCTACCTACAGACCCCAGGGAGAGGAGATTGATGAACCCTCCCTAGATCAACCAAAGGAACACATTCATTAAGTCTGCACCAGCTCAAAAGCTAGAGGGTGTGGCCTATAGGGAAAGGTGGGAATGGTTGTTGCTGCTAGCTTCACTTTCTGTGGCCTAGGGAAACTCAGGGCAGTGGTAGCTATCTTTCTGTGTAGCCCAAGTCTCTAATTTGAGTGTGATTTCTCGGGGTCCTCTTACTTAGGGACTCCCACAGGACTGCAGGCATGGTTTGGCCAGAGCTGTGGTCTCATCTCAGAGCTCAGATGGAAGGGGTCGCTTAGGCTCACTTAGGTGGATAGGGGTTGTTACAGGACTCGTTCCTTCCCATGATATTGGTCTGAAGACCTCAGTTCTCACTCTCAGCTCCGTGCTACTTGCATCTCTCCATGACTCAGCTGACAGCGAAGCAGCCAATAGGAACAAGCAGGACAGAGATGGCATGTGCCAAGCCAGTGTCCTGGTTGTCTGTCACCTACTTCCAAAGTGACATCCCATCATTTTCACCACATTTCCTTCATTAGAAATACCTGAAAGGGGCCAACCCATAGTCCCTGAGAAGGGGTCAAACAGGGCATGAACACTGACTGGTAAGGGCCATTGGCACATCTCTGAAGCTGACCCACTTCGCTATGGGGTTGGGTCAGGTCACTTCTCTTCTAGAAGACTTGCTTCCTCTCTCCGTTGAAAAAGCTGGTTGAAGAAACACAAGGGAAGGGCCTGGCTGGCACCTTGCACACAGTCACACCTGCCCTTGACCATGGAAGCTGTATAGATGGTTACTTTTCTGTGATGGGAGGCGAGACCCATCCAGAGCCTTACAATTCTGGATCTCCACAGAGTGCACAAATCCAACCCTTGAGGTCCCAGAATGCACTGAAGTTAACCGAAAATGGAAGCTGAGGGAAGCAAGGAGGAAGAGGGGCTGCTCAGAGGTCTGGGGAGTGACAGGGGCCACATCCTCCCCAGTTCAGAAGTAGGCAGTGCCTGGGTACAGGTAGCTCAGAAATAGGTTCTCCAGTTAGAGCCAGATGGGGCTGGTCCCATATTTGGTACTTGAGGCAGACGCACTGACCAGCAACTTCACCTCAGGTGATATATGCTCTGATAAGCACCATGTCTGTCTGCCCTCGCCCCAGACAATTTCAGGTACACATGTGACATCTGTGGAAAGAAATACAAATACTACAGCTGTTTCCAGGAGCACCGAGACCTGCACGCTGTGGATGGTGAGTCAGGCCCCTCACTCTTCCCAGCCATGCCAGGGAAATGTCCTTCCTTGTGGACACTGGACCCTGCCCAGTGCCAGAGCCTGGAGGAGAGGGACCCACCCTGCAGGATTCTGGGTCGGGCATGTCTCATCATATCCATTTTCCCTTCTATGTTTGACCAAGTGAAACTGCCATTTTCATAAGTCAAAATGAGTTAAATACTGAAACTTCATGCCATGTCATTTTCCAGTTTTATATTATTTGCATGCCATAATGAAATTAAACCATTTTTTAAAAATGGATGCTGTTCTTTGAGCATCTTAGATGATAGAGCTAGAAATTATAACAATAAGTTCAAGTCATTCGTCTGTAGTCTTAAGAATCTTAGAAAGGGGGTTTTGGACAAGGAAAGGACTTGAGGTTTCCAATCTAGCCCCACACCTTATCCAGTGAGCAGTGATGTAACATGGGGCCCGCTGCCTGTCATCTTTGCCCCATCTTTCCCTGTCATCCCCTTTCTTCCTCCTCTGCCATCCATTGCCTGCTGAGGATTCAGAGAAAGTACCAGGCAGAAAGTATCTAGGGTAGACACTGCCATGGGCTGTGCCCTGGTAAGTATGTATCATCCTGTGGGTCTACTTTCTTGGATCACTTCACTGACCAGGGTAGCCCTCCCAATGCCACAGGCAATCCCACAGGATGGGTGTGGTGGGCAGAGGTAGTGATGCCCGGGTACTAACAGGGCTTCTGTTTGCTTCTTTCCTTCTGCGGCTGTTGCCTCCCGCCTGGGCACAGTGTTCAGTGTGGAAGGGGCCCCCGAGAATCGGGCAGGTAAGTCTTTGTGGCTGCCCACTTTTCCTGTCTCTAGCTGGGCTCCGGCATCGTGAGTGGCCAGCATGCTAAGAACCTTGTGTTCTCCCACAGACCCCTTTGACCAAGGTGTCGTGGCCACTGATGAGGTGAAGGAGGAGCCTCCCGAGCCGTTCCAGAAAATCGGACCAAGTATGTGGGACCCTGGGACTGAGGGCTGGGTAGACTGTGTAGGCTGGGTGAGGGGCACTGCTAGAAAGTCTGTGACTTGAATCTTATAGTTATGTGCCCAGCTGTCCATTGGGCTGAGTAGTCTCAGGACATTAGGCTTCAAGGAGCTGCAGATAGCATAGGTTGAAGGCAGGACAATGAAGGCAGCCAGCCCACAGCTGCACTCCAGCCATATGTCATCTATGTGTACATGGTGCCCCCAGAAGTGTCTTAACCACTTGAACTTCAGCATCTTGTGGCTGAAGATGTTCCCTACAGGCTTGCTGGGGGGTTAAATGAGATCACGGACTGCTTGTTAACCCAGCACCTAGTACATAGTAGATGCTCATGGGTTAGGGGTGCAGGACAGTAAACGGGTGTTCTAGTGAACAGATGGGGCCATGGACTTGTGTAATTCAGTCAGTCAGGGGTGCAGGACAGTAAACAAGTGTTCTAGCTTGCTTTCTGTGACAAACGCCATGACCTAAAGCAACTTAGGGGAGGAAAGGGTTCATTTGGCTGACACTTCTAGGTCATAGTCTAGCACTGAGGGAAGTCAGAGCAGGGACTCAAGCAGGAACAGAGGCAGAAACCACAGAGAAAAGCTGCTTACTGACTTGATCCTTAGCTTCTGCTCAGCTAGGTTTTTGTTTGTTTTATGTTTTGTTTTTGAGACAGGATCTCCTTGTAGTCCCATCTGGCCTGGAACTGTAGACTAGACTCTTAACCTCAGTCTCACAGAGATCCACCTGCCTCTGCCTCCTGAGAACTGGTATTAAAGGTGTGTACCACCACGTCCTGCTCAGCTAGCTTTCCTATATAGCCCAAGCCCCTGCCTAGGGATGATACTGTCCCCAGTGGGCTGAGCCTTCCTACATTAATTAGGAATCAAGAAAATGCCCTATAGAATGCCCACAGGCCAGTCTGATGGAGGCAATCCTCTAGTTGAGACTCCTTTAGGTAACTGTGGGCTGTGTTGACTTGACAGGTAGGAATTCAGTGAGCAGATAGTTACAACCCAAAGCATACAGGGATCTTTGGGAGCCAGGGAAGCCCAGTGTGAGATCAGGAAGCTTCTAGGGAAGACAGAGGTGGGAATGGAACCTCACATCAGGCGCAGAGGCAAGGGAGGGTACTGGCTCTGGCAAAGGAAGGAGAATCAATGATGAGTTCATATTCTGGAGGGCTCTGAGCAGCAGGCACTGGCATTTCCACTTGGTCTTCATGAGACTGAGCTAGTGATCAGGACTCAGAGGAGCGCGGTCAAATGACAGTGTGTCTGCCAGGAAGAGACTAGATAGGGACCTTGTGATCAGCATAGGCAGATACAGTAGGACCACAGTGAAGAATACTCATTCCGGCCTTCAAGAAATTCCAGGATGTCCCTTGCACCTGCTTTCTGTTCCTTGCTTATACCTGTAGAAAGAGACCTTCATTTTCTTACAATAAGGATCCAAGACAGAAGTACACTCAAAGCAAGACAAGGGGATGGGGAAATCAGAGGAGCTAAAACACTGAAGAAGGATATGCTGTGCAGAGGGGACCTCAGCCCAGGATCTTGGAAGGTTCTGGATGCCACCTCCAAAGCTGTTCCTTCCTGCTATCTTGGCATGCTCAAGGAGGACTTGGGTTTCTTCTTGACTCTTGAATCATTCAGGAGATGACAGAGAACATAGTGTCTGTAGAGTGGATGGCACGGTGCTTGTCACATGCACAGTAAGCATTCAGTGTACAGCAGCCTGAAAATCATCTGTGGATTAAGAAAATATGAAGTCTCCAACTCCAGAGCTGGGAGTTTGCCTGTGCAGGGGCACAAATGCGAGTCACAGAAAGCACTTGAGAAAGTCATAGTCTGGTGAGAGAGATGGACAGATAGCCCCATACAAGAGTGAGACAGGGACTCTGGGTCTCTCACTTTACTGCTCACTGTCTCTCAGAAACTATAGAGTAGCCTTCCCCTTCCACCTGCAGGAGCCAGGCTTTGAAACCTGATGGGCTGGCAAGATGGTTCAGTAGACAAGGGAACTTGCTGACGACAGTTTGATTCACAAAACCCACATGGTAGAAGGTGAGAACGAACTGCAACAAATTGTCCTCTGACCTCCATATGTGTGCTGTCACACACACACACACACACACACACACACACACACACACACACACACAAATAAATGAGTAAATAATAAATAAATTAATATTAATTAAATACAAAAAATCATTCAGGCCTGGGTGTTGATTGCAGGTGCCACCCACTTTCCAGTTACTTACCCCTGCTGAATATCCTTTGACTCACCTCAAAGCTGGGGAGAAGAACCTTACATACTCTGTATGACTTGGAACACATCTACCAAGTGTCTAGCCCAGCTTGGCTCCCATCCATGGTGTGAGACAAGAGAGGTTCCTGGGAAGCAAAGGCAGGACTTCCAGAGCCAGCCCAAGGCCGCACCCCAGCTCTATACTGAGCTACGTGGCACCCTTGCGCCCTTGTGATCTACTGATCCATTCTACAGATAATAGTACTTGCCTTTCAGTATAGTTGGGATTGGGTAGGATTCTATTATAAGTGAATTAGCATGGTCCTTGACACATGCATGGAAAGCATTAATCACACGGAACCTGAAGACTGCCTGGGAAGACACTTGCTCTGTGCCTAGTCTGATGGCAGCCCTTGCAGGGATCTGGGAGGAAGCACACTAAGATCATCTCTGGAACTGCACTGAGGACACCAGACCAGGCCGTGCTGAGAGCTGAGATTGGTAGAGTTGTGTGGGGTCCCCCCATGAACACCCAGGATCTGTCATGGGAGATGAGGATGCTGCTTCTAGAGCCGACCGATGTTATGGAGCGCCACAAAAACTAGGCATGGGGCAGGGACAGCCAGTAGAGGCGCCAGGCATCCTGAAGGAACTCACTGTGAAAGCTCTGAAGGTCCAGGAAGAGGAAAGTCCCTGGTGAGATGTCTTCCATATGACATCAGCTGAGCAAGTGGGAGAATTGGATACTTACATAGGAAGAGGCGGGGCCATGAGGAAGAAGAGGTTAGAGGTCACCAGCTAGCAGAACTTTTGTTGAGTGCCCACTCTCTGCCAGCTGCAGTATGAGGAGAGCTACTGTGAACTGTGGGCAGAAGTGCTTGGAGAACAGTTCTTCTCTGTTGAAACAGGACAGCTGGCTCACTTGATTTTTATGCTTGGATAAGGAAGAGTAGGTTGAAAATTCCACACAAGAAAGAGATCTGAAGGAGTCCAGGGAAGAGTATATCTCTGAAAACAGTCTCTACCACAAAATCTAGAGAAAGAAATATTTGTACATCCTCAATCACATGTAAGAAAATAATACAGGCCCACATTTGTAATCTTCACACTCAGGAGGCTGAGGCAGGAGGATCTCAAGTCAAGACCAGCTTAGATTGCAAAGCAAGCTCCTGTATCAAAAAGAAGAGAAAGGTTAGTTGTAAGTTATCTACCACTTCGGCTGCCATAAAAAGCCATAAAATAATACCACAACTCAGCAGCTTAACAGAGGCATGGTTCTTACAGGTCGGAAACCCAAGACCGGGGTGCCAGTGTGGTTGGGTTCTTGTGAGGTGTCTCTTCTTGGTTTCCAGATGAGCTTTCTGTGTCCTCACCAGGTGGCAGGGGAAGAGGGAGGTAGAAAAGTGAGGTCTGCAGTCTCTTCCGAGGATACTCGTCCCATCACGTGCTTCCTACTCTCATGATCTCATCCAACCCTTATCATCTCCCAAAGGCCCCAACTCCAAATAGCATCACACTGGCAACCCAAACTGCAGTGTATGAGTGGGAGAGAGACACAGTTTCACCCTTGTAGAAAAGGAGCCCGAAGCCGTATAGTGAAAAGGCAACGCGATAAAATACAGTGGCAAAGAACGGAGAGAGAAGAAAGGGTTGGAGAAGATGAAACAGAAGAGCAGAATGAAAAGCTACATGATAGAAAATGACAGAATCTGTCTGCAGAAAAAGAGTAGCAACACGAAAGCCAAATGGGAAGAGATATAGATCCTAAGAAACACGTGGAATCAGACAGGAGCCCAGCTCTGGGTAGCTGGCGGTACAGTACCAGAGGGCCAGATGAGATATTCAGAGATCTAATAGAAGATTGAGTTGCTGAGCTAAGGAAGTTCTGTATATGTGAATTTGAAGGGCTTGCCTAGTGTTAGGTAGACTCAACATAAGATGAGGCATCTATATATAAAAAAGCAAGTCACCGGGACTGGAGAGATGGCTCAGCAGTTAAGAACACTGGTTGTTCTTGTAGAAGACCCGGGTTCGAATCCCAGCACCCACATGTCAGCTAACAACTGTCCATAACTCCCGTCCCAGGGGATCCAACAGCCTCTTCTGACATCCACGGGCATTGCACAACACATTATAAAAATAATAAATAAAATTTTTTTAAAAAAGCAAGTCACCTACCCATGAGTTCAAAGTAGGCTAACCTTAGACTTCTCTGCAACATGGAATGTCCAAAGAAAGTGGGTGTCTTTTGAAGGAGAGAGGCTTTAAGAATTTTACACTTGCACAAATTGTGATTAGTGAGCAAATGAAAAAGAGGTTTTTGAAAATGCATACTTGAGTGAACTGTTTGATGGAGTACTTGGAAACACTCGTTATAAGGAAGCCATAGTGTAAGAGGATTTTTGAACTCTAAAGACAAGTGAGCTTAAATGGCTGGAAATTTAATTACAAAAATTGAGTGCATATACTAAAATTTATCCTAAATAAGGGGAAAAAAGAGTTTGGATTTTTAAAAAAGGGACTAAAGATAGAACTCAGTAGAGAGCTTACTGTCATGCACATACCTGCTGTGGCTTTGATCTCCAGCACTGTATGAATTGGGCATGGTGGTGCATGCTTGTAATCCCAGCACTTGGGAGGTGGAAGCAGGAAGATAAGAAGTTCAACATCATTCTCAGCTACACAGTAAGTTTGGGGCCAGCCTGGGCTATATAAGATCCTGTCTCA